GAGCTCACTCCACTCGGGACTGGTACAGGGAATCACTTAGGAAATGAGGGGCTCCAGCACCCTCCCACTTATCAGTTTATCTGGGTTGTGGTGACCATCTGGTGGCATCTGCTGCTGCTCAGCTGTCACCCACCCTCCTGGTGAAGGGGATGCTCTGGGCACCTCGTGGGTGGGGATATGCAGGGGACATGTCCAGAGACCTGGCACAGGGTTAGGGGCAGCCATGGCAAGCACATCCCATGGCTTCCACGGGGACAGATGGATGCCATGGATGGATGGAACAATGGATGCATGGGCAGATGGACATCTCCCCACCCACAGCAGGGAGGCAGGGGAGGACAGACAGACAGACAGATGTTCCTCCTTAGCCAATGGGGTGCCCTCAGGTGATGCAGACAAGCCCATTAAAGGGGTTTATCAAGGGGGTCGGGGTTGGCAGGAGGCTGCTGGTTTTATTTGAGATGTTGCTTTTGGGCTGGGAGAGCCTAAGCTCCTGCTCATTAATTAGAAAGGCTTCAAGGAGGTTTGTACTGGTTGGCCTCACTGGTGAGCAGCCATAATATGATGAGTGATTAGGGACTTTGAAGCTTTTTAGCGGGTGTCATTAAGCTGCTGATGAGCTCAGGCGGGGAAAGGGCCTTTTTGGCTGTGCCTGGAACTGGCTGGTCCTACTCTGACCCAGCCCTTCCTCCTGTTGTGGTCCCTGACCTCCTGAGCCTGATGAGATGGGTGAAGTGTGTGTTCTGGGGACAGCAATGGCTCATCTGTCACCCTGTGTCCTTGGGCTGGGTCAGATCTGGTGTCATTCAGCTCATCAGTGAGATGATGAGCTTGTGGTCATGCATGAGTGAAGCTGAGATGTTACTATTTTCATTGTCTGCCAGGTATTGAGAGAATTTGGGGATTATTAGCTCTGAAAAGGTGACTTCTAAACCATTTGTGCATCAGGGGAGAGAATAGTGATATGTATCCAAAGCAATTGCTTTGGGACAGAGTTTGTTTCCCAGTTATGGGTTTACCCTACTTGTCTGGGCACTGATGGTGAAGCCCTCTTGCTCAGGGGACACCCTCTCAGGTGGCAGTGTCACTGTCCCATCCTCCTCGTGCTTCCTGATGCCCCCAAAGGCTGCGGCAAGGCAGGGACAAAATCTGCTGGATTTTCTCTGCCCTCCCTCATCTCCTCCCGCCTGCCTTGGCAAAACTTCCTGCAGCTCAGCAGCATCCTGCCCCGCCGTGGTCTGGTTGGCATCACTAGCGCTGTATTTACAGCAGTGTTAATTAAATACTTTCTGCAATCAGCGCCACACATGACCCCGCTCCCCGAGCCGGGCTGGGCTGTAATGTGCCATCATCGAGCGAGAACATGACTGCTGCCATCCCAGGGAATTTCTAATAGAGATTTACTCATCCCAAGCCTCTCATTTCTCCATTTTGTGACATTTTGCAAAGTTCAGGTTTACAAAATAAGCCAGTGCACACGAGAGAAGCTCCAGCTGTTATTTATGCTGCACATCCCATTCCCCCTCCATGGGGTCTTTTGCCCCATGGGGAGCAGAGTTGGGGGTTAGGCTGGCAGCTGCTCTCTCCTCCCCTCTGCCCAAGAGGCTGCTAGTTTTGACAAGGAGCACCCCATCACCCCAGATGTCCCTTCATCTGTGTGCTGGGAGAGTGGCAGAGCGTTGTGGCTGTGCCCTTTGAAATACTCCTGGTATTGTGCAGCTGAACCTGCCTCCAACCCCCATTCCAGTCCCAGGGTAAAGGATGGGATGGGAGAGGGAATTGGTCACAGTCTAGGGGCAGACCAGGTAGGGCTGCTGCAGTTTTGGGTTGTGATTTGGGATGCTGAGCTGCTCTGCTTTTAAAAATAAGCTTGTGCTGAAAGCTGGCGGGGAGCGCGGGTGCGGAGGCAGCAGCTGCCAGCAGAATCCCATTAGTGTGCCACAGCCTCCCAGGTCTCAGCTGTGGGCAGAAAAGCCCTTTTTGGCAAATCACCTGTGGTAGGAGCTGCCCACTCTGTGAGAGAGGCAGCCTGTGTGCCAAAAGCCAGGGATGGGGAGAAGGTGTCCATCCCAGAGCCTTGTCCCTCCACGACACAAAGTGGTGGCCAGTGCCTTTCTGACCTGCTCCTGTTTAACCTGAGCCCAGCTCCCATCGGTGCTGGGACCTGGGGCAAACCCCTGAGTGACCAAACTTCCTTCTCCTCCTCTTCCCCAGGAAGGCACTGGCCATTCTGTGTTCACCAGTGCTACAGCAAGGTCAGCTCATCCCTTCTGGAGAAGGTTCTGCTGGAAACCAGGGTGTGCCCATCTCAGAGTATCACTCCTTATGCAAGTGGAGTCAAGGACGCCAACCCAGGTCCCACACAGCTCCATGGGGTGGATGGGGCAGGTGAGTGCGTGGTGGCACCCAGTCCTGTGCACCCTGTTGAAACCTGGCCGTGCTGCCAGCCTGGAGCTGGGCTGTGGGAGATGGGGGGCTGTGGGAGATGGGGGGCTGTGGGAGATGGGGGGCTGTGGGCTCCGGCACACCTCGCTCCTGCCCCACGCCTGCCTTGTCAGGTCTGATCACGAGAAGGATCAGTCGGCCCTGCTCCTCGCTCTCCCGATTTAATTAACGGGCCTTTCATCTCTACCCTGAAGGAATCTGCTATCTTCTGTCTTCTTAATTAACGTTCATTAAGCAAATCAGAAGAACATTTTCTCCTCTCCGCCTCCACGGCTTTTAACCCTTGCAGGGTTCCAGGTCCCCCCCATCCCAGGCTCCTGGGCAGGTTGGTGTGTCATCACAGACTTGGTCACCACATCTCTGCCACGCTTGGACCAAAGTCCTGGGGCAGCGGGTGAAGTCTCTCCAGGTACAGAGAGCTTCAGGTGAGGTTGGGCTTTGCTACACCAGTTGGGCTGGGGGCAAATCCCAGCTCTGATCACTCTTAGGACACTCTTGTTCAAGATCATCCATATCTCTGGAAGACAAGGGGTTTCCATATCCAGCCTTAGCTCTACTTCATATCCAGGGGTGAAGTTCACCCATGGCACAGGTGATGCATCTGTGCTTGAAGGTTTTGCTGTGAGGAGCCACCATCCAAACCTGGTAGGAATCACAGTGCAAGGAAGGTGTGTCCTGTGGGGGCTTCTCCTGCCATTCTCTTGCAGAGTAACATTAGATGTGAAGGGGAATCTCCTTGTGCAGGCAAGAGGCACACTTGTGCCCAGCATCTGACAAGATGAGGGGCTCGTTCAGCCCGGGGTGCAGCTGAATCCATCTAGGGATGTGCAGCTCTCACTGCAGCTGCAGCATTACCACTGCTGAGCACAGCAGTGTCACCACCAATTGCCATCAAGCCCTGGCCCTGTGGGCCATCCCCCCATGCTGGGTGGGCTGTGCTGGAGGAGGAGGTGAGGTTGGGATGCTCATCAGCTTTGCCTGAATCCACTGTACATCCCATGGGCACAGACCGAGCCCCCACTACATGGTCTCATCACTCTCTAACATGGACCCCTGTGCAAGAGGGGATGAGCTGGGCAGGGAAATCATCTCCTCTGCGTGTGTAACATCCAAGGAGGAGGAAGCAAACCCATGACACAAGAGAGCATCTCCTTGCCTCAGCAGCAAGTGGAAAGCAAAACATCTGGAAAGCCTCATCCCTGCAGAATGCAAATCTGCTTAAAACTGGTGGCAGAGATGTGCGGGGCAACTCTTGAGCTGAAAACCCTTCTCCTTCTCCCTGGAGGTTGACAGTGTGTTTGCCACTGGCCGCCCATTCCCAGGCAGCTGCTGCAGAGCTCCTCAGTGCTGGGAAATTCACCCTTCCCAGCGGAGCTGGCTCTGGCTGTCAGAGCCTGGGTCAATATATGATAATGGGGTTTTGAAACGGCGCTGCTGCGGGAGCCACTGCCCAGGACTCTGATTCACAGCTCCCCTCCGGTGCTTTCTCCCGCAGTGTGTACGGGGAAGGAGAGTAAAATAAATAAGAGTGGAAGGGAAGGGGAAGAAGGGAGCTTAAATTATAAATGAGAGCTAAGTTTCCAAGGCCCCTGTGGGCAGCTCAGTGAAGCAGCGTGGGAGTCAGAGGCAGCGCTCCCCCTGTGCACCCCTCTTTTGCAAACACACCTCCTGTGGAGTGTGGGGCAGGGTCTGCCCAGGGGCATGGCACTGTGCCAGTCTGCCTCTCCCCCTATTTGCTGTCACCCTCCTGCCCCCATGAGTCAAATCTGGAAGGTGCCGTGGTCCCCAGAGGGATTCCCTTGGCACAGACTATAATTAGGATTAGCTGAGAGCTGTTAATGAGGCATGGTGATGATTGGGTTTTGCTACCCCATGGAGATGCCTCCACAGGGATGTGCCCTCACCCTGGTCAAGGGGACTGGGCTGGTCCATGGCAGCAGGCAGAGATGGGACCCCCACTCGTGGGTGCTGGTGTGGAGGCATTGAAGGGAGTGTCACAGACCCACAACCCAGCCAGGCTGGTGTGAGTACAGGAGCATTGGCATCCCATAAATCAGTGTCAGGGGAGAAGAGGGTGCTGGGTCTGCTCCAAAGCCTTTCGCTAACCCCTTTTTGATTTTAGGGCTGCAAGAAAAGTGGTGACCACCACCAATTTAAGAAAAAAAGCTACAGGTGAGGCACGTTCCTGGGGCTCATTCCTGGGGCTGAGAAATGGAGGAGCTCTGCTCCATCCACGCAGCTGGAGGTGCAAATCCCCCATCCCCAAAGCAACGGGGCCGGGATGTATCCCACTAGAGGGTCCTATCCTGCCCATCCCCACAGCCTGAGGACCAGGATGGCCTGCGGTGATACCAACCCCACAGCTCTGGCTCACAGACGAAGATTTCGACATTCCCAGCAGCTTCCACAAGATGGACCTCGGAGCGAGAGGAGGTGCCGGGTAAGGGGACCCGTCCCGTCCCATCCCACCCTGTCCCGTCCCATCCCATCCCGTCCTGCCTGCTCCCGCCTTGCCATCGGGAGGAGGCTCAGAGTCCAGCCAGGCGAGCCCCGGCATGGCACGGCCTCCTGGGCTCTGCCTGCTGGCCCTGCTGGCCCTGGGGCTGGGGGCGGGGGGCTCGCCCGCCTGCCTGGACCCCCGGGGGCAGCCCCGCCGCTGCATGCCCGTCTTCGAGAACGCCGCCTTCGGCCGGGCCGCCCGGGCCACCAACACGTGCGGGTCGCCCCCGGAGGACTATTGCCTGCAGATGGGCACCCGCCACGACAGCGCCCTGTGCCACCGCTGCGATGCCGCCGACCCCCGGCTCCACCACAACGCCTCCTTCCTCACCGACTTCCACAGCCAGGAGGAGAGCACCTGGTGGCAGAGCCAGTCCATGGCCTTCGGCATCCAGCACCCCAACTCCGTCAACATCACCCTCCACCTCGGTAAGTGCCAGCAGTGATGTTGGTGAGGGGCACCGGCTGCGGGGGCACCGAGATGTGGGTGCAGAGATGGGGGGGAAAGGGTGGATGCTCCTGCATCTGGTAGCTCTTGGTGCCGGTGCTGAGTTAAGGACAGGAGCTTCCCCAGGTCTTTTAGGGGGTGCAAGGAGGGAGGTGCCCTCTGCAAAGCACCGAAAGGACTCAGGGAGGGTCTGCCCTGTCCATCAGCCCTGGTCCTTCATGGGATGAAGATGCCAGCGGCTATGCCTGCCTGTGCTGTTTCCCAGACTCCCAAGACTGGGGTGCCTGCCCTCCTTTTCATCCCCAGCTGCGTTTTACTGGTTATGGAGGTCTGTGGAGCAGGAGATAGGTGGTTCCTACCCCTGGGAGAGCTTTGCCCAGGACGAGTGAGCACCACGGGTGCCAAGCCCCTGCCGTTTCACCCCTGCATCGCTGAGGGTGCCCAGTATATCTCGGGGTGCAGAGCTCTGCACACATCGTGCAGTCCCAGTAGGTTTCCCCAGCTGGAATCCGCCCCTCTGTGTTTTAAATACTGTGCAAGCCGCCTGCTTGGAGGGTACTTAAAACCCACGGGGCATGCCTGGCATTTTAAAAAGGTTTTATAACATTTTCCTACCATCTAAACTATCCTGGCTGTTGGCCAGCGCTGTAAAATCTTCATTCTCTGCAGTCTCCTGCCATCTGCATGCCGAAGGGGGGTAGTGGAGGGGCTGCGGCTAGAGCTGGTAAGGGGACAGCCCAGCGAGGTAAGGGGACAACTGAGTGTTGGTGTGGCCCAGAGCCGTGCTGGTGGCACCCAGGCTGGCTGGGGTCGCCGGGGCCGTGGAGGGTCCGTGCCTGCCCCGGCAGTGACGCGGGCTCTGCCCGGCTGGGCGGAGGTCGCCGCTTTCCCAGCCCCCTGCGAGCGGGAGGACATCTGGTCCTGTCCCCGGGCCGGGGCTGGGCTCCCCGCCGGGCATGAGAAGCGATGCCGCAGGAACCTGCCATCCCTGCTCCCGCTCCTGCCAGCCCTGTCCGAGGGGATCTGCCGGCCTCTTGTCCACTGTCAGATTGCCCCGAATCTATCTGTGGGTGTCCTGGGGCACAGACCACCCGAGTGCAGCCTGTGTGGCTGAGAAAGTGCCACCAGGCGAGTTTGTGGCCACCAATCCCAGCTTGGCGCAGCGACATGTGCGGGCTCCACAGGCCCCGGGGCTTGCTTCCCAGTCTCTGCCTTTCTTTCAGCTCTTTCCTGGCTCGTCTGTGGTCCCTGTTGGACCCTGCACTCGGGTTTCCTGTGAAGTCCAGTCCCTGTGCCCACCCTGCTGTGTCTATGTTAACACAGCCAAGGCTATAGAATTACACCAAGCTCATCTTCCAACCCAGTCCCTGTGGCCCTTCCTGAGCTGGAGCATTTTCTGCAAATGTCCCCTTCTCCTGCATGGCTCCTACATCTTGCTGTGCTAAAAAGTGCCATTTTGGTGCTTGGCACATCACTGTCTGACTTTGCCAGAGCTGCCAGGCCCTGTTTCTGTCCCAGCTGCAGACCTTTTTATTGCTGCCTTAATGCTTTCACTTGGGTTAAGAAGAAAAAGCCCAACTGGCCCTGCAGCCTCCCCAGAATGAGTCCTTGCTCGTGAGCTCCACCGGGTAATGGGGTGTTTTAACCCCTGCAACGTGTCCCCTCAGCCTGCTTGTCTTGCTCAGACACACGTCATGTAGGTTCTCCAGAGTGGTTACCTGGGGAGCTTATTAAATAAGATATGGAATGAATTGGACAGGAGCTGTGTTTACCTGCGTGCTGTTGATTGGCGTTAACTAGATTATCCTCCTTTAAACCTCTCTTCCCTGGGAGATTTCAGCCGTGCCGTTACAGTGCACTGGACTCAGAGCAGGTCGATCATCCCAAGTGTCCATGGCTCCTGCACTTGCTCTGTCAGGGACGTCAGGGAGGAACCCAAAATATCCATGGCTTGTGAAGGCAACAGACACCAGGGCTCCTCAGGAAGCTCCCTGAATGTCAATGGCTCATTTTGGAGTGTCTAGATCAGGCAGCATCCGTGTCTGTGACTCTGCCTCTGATTTTCCTGTGGGACGGGAGCCCAGTGCTGAGGTTTTGTGGGGCTGGAGGTGGCTGGGGACATGTAAGCAGTGCGACTGTCCCACAGGCTTCTCTCCAAAATCCTCTTGGAGCCCCCAGTGCTGTATGAGCTGCAGTTCAGGCTCCACGGGAAGCAAGGGAACACTTTGTTCAGGTTTTTCTAAGTAGAAATCGGCTGATTGAAAAACCTGTCTAGAATAAGCACACACTCCCTCAGGATGATTCCACAGGGAAGTGAGTCTCCTCCATCCCGGCTGGAGACATCGAAATGGGGCTCCCCCAGCCTAGCTGACCCCTCCTCTCGAGTGGAGCCGCTTGGGGCAGAGGCTGTTTATTGACACAGCACTGAGCTCCCTTCCTCTCCCAGAGGAAACAGCTCTGGGAGGTGATGGCCCTGACCTCTCTGTTTTGGTAGACATCCCCCCTGGGACCCTGCTGTCTGGGAACCGGCGCCTGCCAGGCGTCCCCCCCCTTGCTCGGGGTGCAGGACAAGGGCACCCCTGCTGTCATGAGCCTGGAGGGGTCCCAGAGGGAGGGGAGAGGCACAGGGGAGCGTGGTGATGGTGGGACAGCCTGGCTGCAGACCCTTCTTGGCCCTCGTCACCTCCGGGTGGGCTGGAAGCGGGTCTGTCCCCAGCTCCAGGCACTCAGCCGGGTGCTCCCCGCATCCCTGATGGGATGCAGCTGCTTTTCCCAGCGCTGGTAGCCGACTGCCTTGGCTCCCCCGCAGCAGTCGCAGCGCATACGCGACAGTATTCATATGGGCCCAATTAAAGGCTTGTTTTCCTAGTCCCAGAATAACCCCTATAACATTCCCAACTCATTATCTTTTCAAATAAAGCCAAAACCTTGCAGCTAATTGTTTTGTGCTGTCAGGAGTGGTGCTGTTATGGAGCAATCCAGGCTTTGAGCTGGTCCTTCATCTCTGGCAATTAAGAGGGTCTGATGTTCACTTTGGTGTTTTCTCTTCTCCTTTCTGCTAATTCTTTCAAGTGCTTTCAGAGCTCGCTGGCTGCCCCAGGGATTGGTGGCCTCTCTTTGTCTTCATCCCAGCAAACATGGCAGCAAGGCTGGGTCCTGGCACGCAGCTCCCTGGGAATCGCTGGGAAAGGGATTGGCCTTGACCCTTTCCAACTCTCCATCCCTGTGGCACTGCCCTGGGGACGCTCTCAGTGCTGTGGGCCTGACTCTCCTCCCTGCTGCTGGATAGAGCCTGGATTTGCAGTGCCTCCTTGCCCATACAACCCACCAGTGCACCCACTCAAGGGGTGGGCGTTGCATTGGGGTGAGAACCAGTTTGGAGCTGGATGGAGCTGCACCATGGAGGAGCTGGTTAAGGGCAGCTGGATGGTGATTTCTTCTCTTCTGGCTGTGGTGTGGAGAGGGAGACAATGCAGTAGGAGCAGCGGGATGTCAGCAGCTGTGCAGGATGGGGCACTGGGGTAATTTAGGCTGGTGGTGCCCATCAGGAGGCCTGGAGAGGGTCACAGCACGGTGGGTCTGTCCACAGGCAAAGCCTACGAGATCACCTACGTGCGGCTGAAGTTTCACACCAGCCGCCCTGAGAGCTTCGCCATCTACAAGCGCAGCCACGCCGGGGGGCCCTGGGTGCCCTTCCAGTACTACAGCGCATCCTGCCAGAAGACCTACGGGAAGCGGCCGCGGCAGTACCTGAGGCCGGGGGAGGATGAGCAGGTGGCCTTCTGCACCGATGAGTTCAGCGACATCTCCCCGCTGAGCGGGGGCAATGTGGCCTTCTCCACCCTCGAGGGACGGCCCAGCGCCTACAACTTCGATGGGAGCCCCGCGCTGCAGGTGCTGCCAGGGCGGGAGGGGGTGGGTGTATGGAGCCCCGGGGACTGAGAGCACTATTGCACCCACGTGGGGTAATAGCACCGGTGATGCCCAGCATCCCTGTATGGAAAGGTGCAGGATGAGTCCCAGCTGGGAGCTGGTGGCCCCGACCCCTTGACAAGGTGCATTTCCTGTGTCCCCTGCAGGAGTGGGTGACAGTCACTGACCTGCTTATCTCCTTGAACCGGCTCAACACATTTGGGGATGACATCTTCAAGGACCCCAAGGTGCTGCAGTCATACTACTACGCTATCTCTGACTTCTCAGTCGGTGGCAGGTGAGGGGCAGCCAGATTGGGGTGAGGGCAGGAGTATGGGGACCTTCCTGGGGCTGTGGGGCTGGGGCAGCTGCTCCACACCAGTCTTATTTGAACTGTGGTTTTGGGAAACCTGCCCAGATGTGGCTTCCTCCATATGTAAACCAGAGCTGGAAATACAGAGATGGGTGATAAAACCTGGAGCCTCCCCAGTTGTACAGGAAGGTGGTCTTTGTCTTTTCCCCACAAACTCTTCTGCATGTTCCACCAGCTTTATTTGCTTTGTCCCCTCCCAGCCCTATGGCTTTAAATGACACTGGGGCTTGTGTTGCTCCTCCTGTGGCCCTGCTGGTCCCTGGGCATGGCAAAAGGGGTCCCTGTGGTTCTAGTGGAGCCACAGCCTGAGGCTGCTGAGGCTGGTGGAGGAGCTTGGAGTCAGCACGGACACAGTCCGAGAAGCTGGAGCAGCTGCCTGTGGGAAGGGGGAGCTGATGTGGGTCAGAGATGCAGTAGGCACCCACTCGGTGCTGCCCATGGGCTGTGCTGCACGTGCCCTTCCCTAGCTGGGACGAGTGGGAAATTTCTCCACCCTGGAGGGAGCTGTCTGCCCTGGGCAGCAGGGCTGGGACTGCTCCCAGCTGCTGTCCCACGCTCGGGGTCAGCAGATGGAGCTGGTTAGCACAGGCCACCCTCGGCGTGTGACCTTCCGACTGGCCAGACTGGGATCAGCTCGGGGACACCATGGGCGGCCTCAACACCAGCACAGCCTCGAGCTGCTTTCACCCCGTGGCCGGCCTGGCAGGGCCACACACAACCTGGCCACTGTCCCACTGCCACCACTGCCCACACGGAGCTCAGAGAGGCTCCCCCGTGCTGGGGTTTCCCCACAGGTGCAAATGCAACGGCCACGCCAGCGAGTGTGCGCCGGACGAGGCCGGGCAGCTGGTCTGTGTGTGCCAGCACCACACGGCCGGCGTGGACTGCGAGCGCTGCCAGCCCTTCTACCAGGACCGGCCCTGGGCACGCGGCACCGCCGAGGCTGCCAACGAGTGTCTCCGTGAGTATCGCTCGGGCTGTCCCTGTGGTCAAGGTGTGTGGCCATACTGGTGCTGCATTGGCTCATCCGGAGGCTCCTGCCCTTCCTGTACAGGAAGAGAGCACCTGCTTGTAAGGGAGGGAGGGTTTGCACCCCAGGGCTTCCCTTCACAGCATCACCCTGTGGATTCCCCATTCTCTCACCCCGTGAGCGCAGCCATCTGCCCCGTGCGTGGTGCTGAACCCGCCTCTGCTTCCAGTGGCAGAAGCATTGCCGAAAGCTCACACTGCTGAGCCAAGCGGCCCCTCCGGCTCATCTGACCCCACAGGAGGTTGCTGTGACCCCTGGGTGAGCCCTGTGCCCCGCAGGTGCTCACCCCCTCTCCTGCCTTCCCCCCAGCCTGCAACTGCAGCGGCCGCTCCGAGGAGTGTTTGCTACGACCGGAGAGCTGTTCCGGCGCAGGCGGGCAACGGGCGGCACTGCCGCCACTGCCGCGACAACACGGCGCGGGCCCCACTGCGAGCGGCTGCCTGGCAGAACCACTAGCCGCTGGGAGCCACAGGCAGCCTGCCAGCCCTGCCACTGCCACCCCGCAGGTGCGTGGGGCTGTGCCCAGCTGGGCTGCAGCTGCACAACCCCTGTCCCAGCTGGAGTTAGCTGGGAGGGATGGTTTTGCTGGGTTCTCCCTTGCTCGAGGTTTACACATTTGCTCCCACCCTGTGTCTCTGTTGAGTCTGTCCTGTTGAGCCTCAGGGCTGGCCGGGGTCCCCACAGGCTCCCTGCAGCCCCAGTGTGACAACTCGGGGACCTGCCTCTGCAAAGCCAACGTGACGGGATGGAAGTGTGAGCGCTGCAAGGACGGCTACCACAGCCTCAGTGAAGGTGGCTGCAGGTGAGGAGGAGCCTGGCCCTGGGCAGGAGCAGCGGGATGGAAGCAGGGCTCACCTCATGCCTTCATCTCCATCCAGACCTTGCACCTGTGACCCAGCGGGCAGTGTTGGGACCTGCGACCAAAACACAGGGCACTGCACCTGCAAGGAGAGGGTGGAGGGGCACTTGTGCAACAGGTAAGCACCACGGCCCTGGGATGGGGACGGGACTACTGTCTCTTTCCAGTCTGGGATCAGTGACAGGACTTGGTGGCAAGACTGTGGGGCTGCATCCCTCTGGACCTCTGGGACCGGGTACAAAAGGAGCTGCCACCAGTGTCCCACCCTGGGTTCCCTGCAGCTCTGCCTGCCCTGTGCTACCTGCTCCCATTTCCTCCCTGTGCCCAGGTGCCAGCCAGGCTGGTTTAATCTGCAGCCCCACAACCCCATTGGTTGCACCAGCTGTTTCTGCTACGGCCACTCCACCGCTTGCACAGCAGCCGATGGATACGAGGAGACTCACATCCGCTCCAACTTCAGCCACGGTATGACCACTAAGCCCTGGGTGAAACAGAAGGCACAGATGTGCCACCTCTAGCCAAAAAAGCTTGGGAAGGGTTGGGCTGAGCACTCCTCTTGGGGCTGAGCATTCCCCTTTATGGCTAACTAGTGGTGATGGCCAGTGGGGATTTTCTCTGGCTTGCCCCTATTTTACTGTTAAACCTTTGCTTTTGCCCCCAGCTTCATGGGGATGGATGGGCTCTCCCTGGCTCCTCATGGTATACCTCCATGTCAACCTGCTCCTGGGGCTGTGCATGGCTCAGGGAGGGTTGTGGGGCCAGGCATGGCTGCCCCACAATACCAGTGACCGCAGGAGCACTAAAAACAGCTCAGAAAGTTAAAATCTAAAAGGATGGAGCCTGCTGTGAACTTTCCCCTTTATTCCCTCCTCTCCCCACTCTCAGCTGGTATGTGGCAGGGTGGCTGGGAGAGCAGGATGGGGTGCTCTTTGCCTGGCTGCAGCCAGGGCTGTGGTGGCAGGGCTGGATGTGTGCGGGATGCTCGGGGAAACCCTGCCATCTGCCGCGCATCCCGGCGTGTGCAGCCCTGCTGCAGGGACACCGCAGCCCTCACCGCAAGTCCCCGCTCACCAGGACTCCCCCCCTGCACCTTGCAGGGATGAGCACCCATGGCAGGCACCCCCTGTCTGCTTCGCCTGTCCCCTGCCGAGCAGATGGATACGAACCCGCCAGGCACGGGTTGATCCTGATTGCAATTAAGCCACGCTGCCAATTGCTGTACTGCTGGAATGTCTTCCACAGCCTTGAAACAGAGCCAGGCTTTAAATCAAGTCCTTTTTTCCACCCTTTACACAGCTAATCTAGGGCTTTTCCTTTTGGGACTGGTTTAGCAAAGCCCTGGGCTGAGATGTAGCCATGACACTCTCCTAAAGCCCCACTCCCCAAAGCGCCCCCCAGTCTACAGTGGAGCTGGATCAGATGGAATTTTCCTGTCCTGGGTGAAAGAGTCCAAACTGGGGATGATTTGATAGCTGAGCACAACCCACTTGAGAACTGGGAAGGGATTTCCAACTGTTTGTCCTGCAGGGCTAGAAGAAATAACCCTAGAGAATGGGGGAGAGTTTAACTGGCTTCTGAAGGAAACCAACTTAATGCAATTATGCCCCATCTCTCTCTGGGTTTCTCCAGCATCTCTCCCCAGGCTTCCTGCACTCTCCAGCCCACAGTAATGTTAGCAATGCAGCACAGGCAGGGAGGCAAAAGTTTAAAGATAATAACTTCCTCCAAATCTAAAAAAAATAAACAGATAGGGGCTGGCTAGGGCCACCCTCTAGTGCATGAGAGCACAGAGCCCGAGTGGAACAGGGTGTTACAAAGTGCTGGCCCCTTCCAAGACCCTGGAGAGCCTGGGGAGGAGGGACACAGCCCCTGAAAGCAGCACCTTACTGGTGCTCCCTTTGGTGAACATTTCCACTGTGTGCTGTCACACAGGGCTGGAGGGCTGGGCTGCCACAGCTCCAGGCACCACAGACCTGCCCCTGCGCTGGGCTGGCGGGGAGATCTTCACCGAGTGGGATGGAGAGGAGCCGGTGGATTTTCGTGCACCAGGTACTGTGTGTGCTGGGTCCCTGGGGTGCTGCTCTGCCGTGAGGACCCCCTGGTACTCTCATGGGGTGTCCCACTGCTATGCTGCTGTGTGAAGCACTGGGCTCTACTCCAGAGCTGAGCATATTTCAATAATACAAGGTGGTGGGGAGGTTTGGAACAGTGGATCTGCCTGGGAGGGCAGGTTGGAGCTGGCACTGCCCTAGGAGGGTGATTCTGGCTCCTGATGATGCTCGTGGGAATAGGACTTTCACCAGCAGAGCTGGTTCCTGCACGTCCTACAGACTTTGCTCCTCTCTCCCTTTGCAGAGAAGTTTCTGCAGAACCAGCGCCTCAGTTATGGGCAGCTCCTGTCCCTGCTGTTGGGAGTGGAGAACAGGACAGGGACAGAGCTCGGGATGCCTCTGCTCCAAGTCCAGCTAGTTCTGGAGGGTGAGGGGATGGAGATCACCATGCCCAGCAGCAAGAATCAGCCCCAGCATGGAAAGCAAGCTGTCGCCTTCAGGTACCTGTCACAGTGCTTTGGGGAACCTCAGTGGGGTTTAGGGCAGAGTGTGTCTGATCTTGTCTGGGCTGCCCTTTGCTATGGGGTTCAGCCCCACTCTCTGCCCCCATCAGGGATTTAACTGTGCTCCCATTGCTGTGCCTGGGTCCCAGCCAGGGAGCCAAGCTGTCCTGCAGCACGTGGCTCTAAGACTGGCCCTGTCCTTGCTCCCGTGCTCCTTCTCCAACAGGCTGCACGAGGCAGAGGAGGGTGCAGAGCCTTTGCTGTCAGCCTTCAGCTTCCAGCGCCTGCTCTCCAACCTGACCGCCCTCCGGCTCCGTGTGAGCCGCGGCCCCGTGCGAGGTGGGTGGTTTACACTCAACATTCCCACAGGGACCAAGCTGGGATGAGCCGGGGACACCAAAGCAGCAGCAGACTCTCATGAACGAGAGGCACTGCAGGGGGTGTGTTGGAGCAGGGGCTGGCTCCTCTCTGCGAACACCCCTGGGCTCTCCAGAAGGTGTTTTGCCGTCTCCTATGCCTGTCTGGAGCACTTCCAGGCAGGAATTAGAGAACCGAGCATGGGATGTGCCATCCCATCCTCAGGCCGCTCTCCCCTCTCGCAGGCAGGCTGTCCCTGAGCGAGGTCCAGCTCACATCTGCCAGCCCTGGGCTGGGGACCCGGGCGGGCTGGGTGGAGGAGTGCACGTGTCCCACGGGCTATGCCGGGCAGTTCTGCCAGTCCTGCGCGCCCGGATTCAAGCGGGAGATCCCCTTCGGAGGCCCCTTCGTCAGCTGCGTGCCCTGCGCCTGCAACCAGCACGGGGACTGTCACCCCCTCACAGGTGTGCACCTCCCAACCCCTCCACTCACCCCATGCACGAGGGACAAATCCATGTCTGTGCTTGTTCTGAAACCGTCGGTGGGGTTGCTATACCCAAAATTTGCAAGTCGAGTTGCTTGTAGGGACTGGGTTTGTAGCTGCAAAGACAGAGATAATTAATGAAGTGCAATAACGGTGGTAACTTATAATGAGAGGGGCATTTTTCATGGCACTATATGACCTTTAAGGAGGAGAAGGGAAGGGTGCTCATCCTCAGAGGAGTGTGGGAGCAGAGGTCAAGGCAGCAGAGAGGCAGAGGATTTTGCCAGGCTGGGTCTCACAGGCAGCATTGCTGCCCGATGGGTGGAGTAGGACTGGGCACAGCCCTGGAATCTGTAAACTGGGGGTCGACCTGAGCAGAGAAACAAAGAAAAGAGCAGGAAAACACATCAGTGCCAGGCTTGTGGGAAGACACGGGAGGAGCTGGCCCTTGTGCTGCCAGCCTAAGCCCTGTTCTGCCTCCAGATCCAGCTCAGAGGTGTGTGACTGCAGCAGGGACTGCAGATGAAGGGAGGAAAAAGCCAAAGCAAAGTCTTTGGGGCAGTATGGCTGTGTCTGGGGTGGTTCACAGGGTGCTGTCACTCACCTCTGCTGCCAGACAAAGTGTCTGGGTGGCTTTGGATGGGGAAGGGGAGCAGGATTGCAAACAGCTGCCATGGAGCTTGAGGTGGCCGTGTGAATCCAACAGCCTTGCTGCTGTCAGCCCCAAGGAAATGCAGACCAGAGCCCTGAGGTGCTGTTGTGCTCCCCATCCCCTGCAGACAACAGCAGCTCCAACAAGTGCTGGAAAGAGCTTGGAAATACAATGATGCATTTGTTACCCGGAGATCCTGGATGGAGGGGAGCTCCTGGGGGTGGTGGCAGCTCTGCAAACTTGCCCTCATCTCACAGAGCCGGGGCTGGCGCCGCTGCACAATCCCCAGGGACGGGGCCAGGCTTTTGATGTCCTGGCCTGGGCTCTGCCAGCCTGCGCACTTCCTTTAGTTTATTTTCCCACTTCTTCCTGCCACCCGCTTTTCCTTTCTTTTCCTTTGTCTGACTGCCTGGAGGTGGGGAAAATGGAAAAAACACCCGTTCCCTCCTGCGCAACATTCACGGTATGACCTGACCCCACAAATTGTGGGGGAAAATCTTCCCTGTAGCTCCTCCTCTCCCTAGTGAAGCAGAGCATCTGCCTGGAAGTGGGGATTCCTTGAGCACCCTTCCTCATCCTTCTCCTCCTTCTCCTCCTCACAGCCGATTTCGGAAGGCTGACTCACCAGCTTGGATTGCCCTGGAGGAGATGCTCCCCAGTGGGTGCCGGGATGGCTGCTTGTGTTTTCCATGACAGGCTGGAAAGGACGTGTCTCGTTGCTGAGAAATGTGTTGTTGATTATGGCAGGCGCCGACAGCCTCCACACACACACTGATGGTGCTGCCTGTGCCAGCTCTGCCTTGTCCCTGCGCAGCTGTGTCCCCCTGTGTCCTCTCCAAAACCTTCTCCCTTGAGCAAGGACAAGGAAGGGAGGGAAAATGTTCTGAGCACTGGCTGGAGATGTGCAACCCCAGCATGGTCCTTTGGCTGGAGCTGCACATCCCTCTTGGCACCCTGTGTGCCACGCTCGGCGCTGGGCTCTCCATCCCTCCCGCGGTCCCCGCTGTTATTCGGGGCTGGGTTTTTGCAGACCCTCAGCTCTGTTTTTCTCCCCACAGGGCACTGCCAGTGTTTGCACAACACAGAGGGTCCCTCCTGCGAGCGCTGCAGCCCCGGGTTCTATGGCAACCCCTTCGTAGGGCGCTTTGATGACTGCAAGCCCTGCCCCTGCCCCGGAGGTTCACCCTGCACCGAGGTGCCCAGCAGTGGGGAGGTGGTCTGCACCCACTGCCCCCCGGGGCAGAGAGGTGAGGCTGGGGGTGGGTGGGCACGGGAGCTGTGGGCAGCACCGACACAGCCAAACCCTCCCCATCTATTCACCTTCCTCAGGGAAACGCTGTGAGCTCTGTGATGACGGGTTTTTCGGGGACCCCCTGGGACAGAGGGGGCCTGTGCATCCCTGTGAACCCTGCCAGTGTCATGGGAACGTGGATCTCAATGCCGTGGGGAACTGTGACCCCGTGTCTGGCCGCTGCCTGCGCTGTGTGTACAACACGATGGGCGAGCACTGCGAGAGGTGCCAGCCAGGCTTCTACGGGGACGCGCTGGCTCCCAGCCCTGCTGGGAAGTGTGCACGTACGTACAGTCCTGGGGACAGCTCACTTGCAGCCAAAATCCTCCCAGCAGTGGAGGCAGAGGGTGGAAAGGGGATGCCCAGTGAGTCTAGGGGGTGATGGATAGTCCAGGTTAGCCCCAAATGCTCTGGAATGGGGTTTGTCCTCTTTCTCCACTGCCATCCATCCCTGGAGAATCTCTGGTCTGCAGGGGCTCAGCCTCTCGAAGTCCTGTTTGATGGGGGGATGTGACTCTCCACATTGATGGCAGGGGATCCCAGCCCCAGTGTCCCATTCCCACAGTCCTGTCCACCAGCTCTGTGCTGGGATGTAGGTGCTATTTTGTCTCCCACAGCTTGTGATTGCAACCCCAGTGGCTCAGACCCGGGGCTGGAGGGCTGTGATCCTGTCACAGGCCAGTGCCACTGCCTCCCACACGTGACGGGCAGAGCCTGCGGGCACTGCCAGCCTGGCTACTACGGCCTGGAGCCCACCGTGGGGTGCAGGAGGTATGTGAGGCACAGCTTGGGGCTGCCAGGGGCAGGGTGGCCCTGACTCCCCGGCTCTGCTCTCTGCTCTTTGGGTCCATTGCCTGCTCATGTCCCCCCACTTCTCGTGCCAGCTGTGAGTGCCACCCGACAGGGTCGCGTGACAGCGAGTGCCACGCAGTGACGGGGCAGTGCTCCTGCCAGCCAGGTGTCACGGGGAGGCAATGTGACCGCTGCCACCACGGCTTCTTTGGCTTCTCTGCCAGGGGCTGCCGAGGTAACGGGGGTGGGGACTGCGCCTCGGTCCCTAAAGCAGGGCTGGCAGGCACAGTATGACACTTCTCTGCCGCTGCTGCAGCCTGCAACTGCTCCCCGCTGGGCTCCGTGACCCCACAGTGCCACGAGAACAGCACCTGCCTCTGCCACCCTGGCTTTGTGGGCTACAAGTGCGACCGGTGCCAGGCCAACTTCTTCCTCGACCCTCTGAGCTCCCACTGCCAGCAGTGTCCTGCCTGCTACGGGCTGGTGAAGGACAAGGTACAGCCCGTGCACTGCCAAGGTGGGCACAGCACCCCAATCCCCGCCCTGTCTTACTGTCCCCCCATGTCCCCCTGTATCCTGCTTGCAGGCTGACCAGCTGAAGGCCAGGCTGCAGGAGATGGAGGAATGGCTGCAGAAACCAGGCTGTAATGCCCACCCAGGCCAGTCTCTCATGCTGGGGGATGCACCCCGGGGAGATGGGCTGCCCAGCCCACACCTCCTGCAAGGTACAAGGGACACTCCTTTTCCCTATGTCCTGCAAGATATAGAGGACTCCTCTTCCCTCCACCATGGAGGAGCCCCATATGGCCCCTCTGGGTGCCCTCTGCTCCTGCAGGGTGGTGTGACATGCTGGGTGGGTGCAAGGAGTTCCCAGGTCAGTGCTGGACTCAGTGTGGGTGATGGGGTGACCCAGAGGGCAGCGCAGAGGGGGGGATATGCCTTTTTGGGTAGGACAGAGCACTGCAGGGATGCTTGCACCCATGAGGTTTTGGAGCAGGTGGTGATGGGTGCTACTGAGGGCTGAGCACCAACACATGGGTGCCTTTTGGGTGCTGCATATGTCTTCCCCTGTCTTCCCCTTTCCTTAGCAGGTGGGAGGGAGGGCGTGGGGCAGCCCCACAGGCAAGCAGGGAGCCCTGAGCACCTCTATGGACAATGAGCTGCTTGTGCTGCTCACAGGTGCCTGGGCCACCCTGTTGGCACAGCTGGGGCAGCTGGCAGGGGCTCTGAACACCGCACGAGGCCGTCTCACCAACGCCAGCCAGGCCACCAGCTGCTCTGGCCACGGATCCGCCAAGACCTGCATCCTGCTGTCCGAGATCGGGGCCGTGCTGCAGTCGGCACAGCAGGAGATCCTGAATGCTGCAGACACCCTGGCTACCACGGTGAGCTGGGCTCTGGGGGGGCTGCTGGCAGTCCTGGGGGGCAGGGGGATGTGCCCCCAGGACTGGTGGGGTGGGATGTGGATGTGACCAGCACAGTGGGTGAGCAGGGGTCTGTGTGGGTATAACCCTCCTTGCAGCTGAGTCAAGAGGAGCTATTTTTCTTGCCCCAGCCCTTTGAGAGGTTCTTGGTGCTGGGCTGGTGGGGCTTGAGAGTCCCTGCTCCTTGCCATGGTCTCACTGCTACTGTTTGCATTTTAAGGAGATTCCCCGGGAAATCCCTCAGCAGCCCACAAACTGGAGCCACTGGGCACTGGAGGCACGGGCTCTGTCCCAGAGGTACGGCTGCAACAAGCAGACGAGGTGTCTGCCCAGCCAGGGGTGCAGGGAGGCCAATCCTAATATCATGTCTCTGAGTGTCCTTGTCCCTGCAGCCACGAGGGCGCTGTTGCAGAGGTGGAAGCAGTGGTCAGGAGAGCGCTGCGTGCCTCCAACGCCAGCTCCGAGCTCCTGCGGAGTCTGCTGGAAGGGAATGCGACGAGGAACGCGCAGCGTGAGCTGGAGGCTGGGTGAGGGGCTGGCAGGGCACCACAGCTCCTTGCCTCTGGCCAGGTCCCTGTCACAGGACTCGATCACAGTGATTTGGCATCTGCCCAACAGGGACGTGCTGAGCCCTGTCAAAATCATTGCACCACAGTGTTGCCAAGTAAAAAGACAGGGTGCTCTATATTGTGGGTATTTCAGGGAAAACCCCCAGCCTTTTCTGCTACATCTGTGTCTGGAGCCAGATCTCCCTCCTTTGAGGGACCAGAGGGCCTGGGCTGACAGCAGCATCCTGTCCACATAGGTACGAGGAGATCCAACGGGCCCAGGAGGAGCTGGGTGTGGGCATGGAAGAGGCCAGGAGAGCTTTGGCAGCCATGCAACAGGCAAATGCAGACATGGCCAAGAAACTTCTGCAGGTGGCTGCTCTGGGGCAGGTGAGCAGCACCCAAGCTACGGCTGGTAAACCTACTCCCTGAGCAGTGCTGCCTCCTGGGCTGGGAGATGCTCTCATAGAGCTCTGGCACTCCTGACCCCACAGCAGGTACTGCCAGTGCAAGCTGGAGCCCTGGCACAGGACCTGGCAGTGCTGGAGCAGGCAGCAGCAGCCCAGGAGCTGTTGGCTCAGCAGGCTGTCGAGACATCCCGCACACTGGCAGCTGGATTGCGCCTGGAGCTGCAGAGGACTGATGGCTTTGAGCAGGTAATTGCTGCTCACTTGCATGGGGAGCCCCACCCCTGCTGCTCCAGCGACAGGAGGGACTGTGCCTACGGCCAGGGAAAGGATGTTTTGGGAGACATCTCCCCTTGGGCTCACGGGTCTCCCAAGGAGCTCACATGCCAAATGGGAGCTGGCTGAGACCCACATTTCTCAGCACTCCTCAGCCTCACTCCTTCCCTCTCCTCTCCCAGCTGCGGGACCGGGCTGGCTCTGCCCGTGACACGGCTACCTCGGCTGTCTCACATGGAAAAGCTGTGCACTCTGGTGCCAAGTCCCTCCTGGCCAGCTTGGAAGGTAAAAGGCACCAGTCAGAGCATGTCCAGCCACAGCTTGGCTCTCACCACACTGGCTCTGGGTACCAAGGGAGAAGGGGACAGTTTGGTGACAGCCAATTTGTCCCCACAGGCATGAGGAAGATGCTGCAGCATCGGAAAGGCCTGACTGCCCTGAGGAGGAGGATGGCCACTGTGCGGAACAGGGTTTTGGGGGATGCCCAGAAGAAGATTAAACAGGCAGAGAAGACACTGGGAAACTCCTTGTCCCTCTCCATCAGAGCCCAGAGGACAGCTGGAGAGGCTGAGAAAGTCTCTGAGGAGAGTGCCAAGGTCTGAGTGGGGTGTGGGGAACTGCTGGGCATGGCCAGGCTGGCAGCCACCACAGGCAGAGCCCAGTCCGCTGCAGGCAGGGCTGCATGTCCTCAGGTGACTGTCCCCACCTCCATCCCTTTGCAGAGGGCACAGGCTGTGCTGCAGGAGAGCAAACAGGCCCACAAGCATGCCAGACAGTTTGCCAGGCATGTCAACGAGACCCAGCGGGAGCTATCCCGACAGGAGCACATGGCTGAGAAGCTCAGGGGGGACCTGGAGGAAGCACACCAGGTGAGTTGGGTGCCCTTGGGCAGGTTGTGTCCTCTGGAGCCTGGACAAGCTTTGCCCACAACCCAAAGCAAAGGGAAAAACACAGCTTTGGGGATCCACAGTATGGGCAATGCCTTGGGGATGTTCCTGGGATCCCTTTTCCCATCCAACCAAGGGTCAACAGAGTCCCTGATCTGGGTTTCTGTCTCTTTTGAAAGGTGGGGACAGAGGTGAGTGAGATGGCAAAAAGTCTCCGGGAAGCCCGGGGCTCACTCATGTCGGACATCGAGACCCTGAACAACCTGCTGAGCAGCCTCGGTGAGACCCGGGTGGGAATGGCGTGCAGGTTCCCAGGGAAGGGCTGGGTCCTTGGGGGCCCGGGGCTCTTCTGATCACTGATGCTGGATCTCCTTCTCACCAGCCATCCAGGCTGAGTTGTGTGCTCTTTGGCTGAGATCAGCCATGGTCTCAGCAAAACTTCTTGAAGGTTCATGTCTTGAGGAAAACCCCCATGAAGAATGAATGTGTGTGCTCATGCCTGGTGTGGGGACACTGATCTCCCTTGGCACCTTCAGAAGGAGCAGGGCTGGGTTAAGGGCTCCCTTTGGAGCTGACGGATGTACTGGGCTGGGTTCACTCCTTGTTGCCGATTGGATTTGCTCCAGCTTCTCCCGCTTTGATCATCTGGGTACATTTCTGAGTACTCCAGGAGTCTTGCATCCAAGAAATTTTGCAAAAGGGTGGACATCACCCATTTGTAAGACAGACGTGCCCAGGCCCTGCCTGGAGCCACAGTCCTGTTTGCTTATCTGTGATCACTGGGAAGCTGCAAAGCCTCCATGCCCTGCTGCACCCGCTCCCTATAGCTTGCCTGGTGCCAAGGGTCTGAGCCCCTGGAGTATGTCCAGAACCTCTCCTGCCCAGCTGCCTGCTCTCATTCATGTCCTCTCCCCTTGTCCAGGCAACCTGGAGCAGGACATGGAGGTGGAGGCGGTGCTGAGTGCCGGGCAAGTGCAGCTGGAGCGGCTGTGGCAGCGCCTGGCCACGCCGGGCTCCCTGGCTGGCCAGCTCAGCCGGCTGCAGCAGGAGGCAGCCCGGCAGCAGGAGAAGATCCAAGCATTCGAGAGTGACTTGGCTGAGATCCGGGCCGACAAGCGGAACCTGGAGGATATTTTGCGGAGCCTCCCCGAGGGCTGCTCGAAGTGACTGGTTGCTGGCTGCTGCCCCATCCCCTCTGTGCCCCCCTGCACAGGGAAAGGCAGAGGGAAGGACACCCTGTGTTAACCAGCATCAATCCCTCCCACTGCTACTCACGCTGCCCTCCACAGAGTATCACACCCCAGGTCTTTATCTGTTACCAGTTCAGGCTCTGCATTCCGAGTGCTCTGCAGCAAGACTCCAGCCACCAGCTCCCCTTGGGATGGGGGGACAACCAGCTACCAGGGACCACCAACGTTTCTGTGCAGGATATTGAGCCATCACAGGGCTGGTTTCTCACCATGGAGTGAACAAAGAATCATCACAGATTTCCTCCATCTCTCCTTCCCCACCACAGCATGGCACACTGGGCAGGGAAAGCTTATCAAGTATGTAACATACCCAGGCTGTAACACCCAGCAGTCCCTCCTGCCCCAGGAGATGAGAGAGGCTCTCACCTGCTGCACAGTGCCTTGCAGTATCATGCTCATGTGCTGTGGTCATAGAGGTGCAGAAAGGAATCCTGGTGAAGCGAGGCAGAGAGCTGCTCACCCGAGGGCATACAACTTGTCTGCTTTCCAAGGAAAGGGAGGTTGCAGCAGGCAGGGATCAATTAACAAGCAGAAGCAAAGCTGGACCCTTACCCAGCTCCTGGCAGGCAGGTGGAACATCCTCTACCTGCTGCAGGGTAAGAGCAGGTCAGCTCTTGCTGTTCCCCTGCTCCAGGGTAGCACTACTGCTGCCTACAGCTCCTTGCGTCCTGTCCCATTCCTCCTGGCTTACTGGGTGCCACCAGGTCTTGCTTTAAACCAGCCCGACATCTGCAATCCCAGGGGCTGGATGGCACAGGCACCGGGCTGAGAGGTGGGAGAGCTGCATCACCCACAGCCCCACATAAGCACCTGCGCCCCCTCCCCACTGGGAGGAGCTGGCTGGTGGCACCAGGCTGTGCAGTCAGCACAGACTGGATGGGGAACAGCTGGACACCAGCTCCTGCCAGTGTCACTCCCACGAGGTGGCAGAGGTCGGTGGCTGTATTGCCTTTAAAGGAAAGGCATGTGTGTTCCCCTGTGCTCCCATGAGGGCTGGGCTGTGTGGCCACGCAGGCAGGTCCTGGCTCAGCCCACCCTGTGCTGGCTGTGCCCTGACTCCAGGTAGATGAAGTCATTCCCATAAGACCAAAAAAAAGTCCCCAGGCTGGAGCAGGTTTCACTTTTTAACCAGTTTTACCTGTGTTTTTTCTGCTCACAGTGCTGGAAATCAGGTTTGCTAAAGTCTTGTGTAATTTATGTAAAATTGCTGCCATAGATGTTGAATTCCCCCAGCAACATCTTCAGTGTGTCCCCAGCAACATCTTCAGTGTGCCTGAAAGGGACATGGGATTTTCGTACTGAGAACAAACCCTTTGCCTTCATAATTCTGCACAAAAGCTGCCCAAGGAGTGGGGTGCAAGAGCAGCGGGGGTGTAATGGCAGGGCGTCCCCTCCCTCTGCCCAAGAGCAGCTCTGGGAAAGCATAACCATAGAGCAGTGAGAGCACAGTGTGATCCGGCTCGGCCAGAGGCAGGGAGCCACAGCCACTTACTGTCTCCCTGGGAGGACAATTATACACCTCCGGTGAACACACAGATTTGCTGCTGTTACAGAAATGTCAAGCCTCTGCCGTGTGCCTGCTGCTGAAGATGTTCACGCTCCCTCCTGCTCTCCCCGGAATTCTGTGTTTTTAGCTGGCAACACCTGCCTAGAGTTGTATCCATTAAAAATCCTTAATATAACACACAGCTGCCCAGCCAGGGCATGCGAAGGTGAGAGGGCAAACGCTGTGCCTGCTCTTGCTGCTTTGAAAGAGCAGGGGCTGAAATGCAGCTGAATTTGGAGTGGTGAGGGGCGAACGTCTGACAGCTCCTGCTAAACACCACTTTAGTACATGTTCCTAACATAAGGTGTCAGGCTGAGATCACGGGGGCGATCGCCACAGCAGCTCCAGGTCGGGACACGCATCAGCCCGGCTGTGGCCGTCCCTCGGTCCATCCCTTTTCCCGCTGCTCGCGCTCCAGGGTCTATCCAGCAGCTGGAAAGGTATCGCCCCACGGGGCACCCGCG